TCTTAGAGACCCCCGATATCTTTTTTTTTTCAATTAAATAAAAAACTCGAGCAACTTTTGATGTTTTAATTTCGAAAGAGTTTGAAAGAGTCTTTAGGATCCTTTGTGCTTTGTTTTTGAAAGAATTAAAAAAATCTTGAGGGTCTCTGTTTTTATTTTTGAAAGAATTTGATAGAATCTTGAGGACATCTAAAGTCCCTTTTTTAGTCAAAGGATCTTAAGAGCTTCTTTCATTTTATGTGTGAAAAACTTTAAAAGAATCTCGAGGATCCAATGTGTTTTGTTTTTGAATGAGTTTAAAAGAATCTCGGGGACCTCTGGTATTTTGTTTTAGAAACAGTTTGAAAGAATCTTGGGGGTTTCTAGTTAAAGAATCTGAAAGAGTCTTAGAGGCCCATTATTTCAGCCGTAGAGACCCTTTAAATTGTGTTTTATTTTTGAAAGAGTTTGAAAAAATCTTTGGAACTCTTAGTGTTTTGTTTTTGAAAAAGTTTGATAGTATCTTAGAGGCGTCTAAACTCTGTTTGAAGTAGCTGAAATCATCTTAAACCGCTTTTATTCCTTTTTTGAAAGAATGTAAAGGAATTTTGATGATTCATTGTGTTTTATTTTTGAAAGAGTTTAAAATAATCTCTGGGGCTCCTAATGTCGAAAGAGTTTGATAGAATCTTGGGGGCTTCTAATTACAGAATCTGAAACAGGATTTGTGGCTCATGGTTTTTTGTTTTCGAAAAAGATTGGAAGAATCTTGGAAGTCCTTTATGGTTTATATTTGAAAAAAATTGAAAAAGTCGTGAGGACTTGCAAAGTTTTTTTTTAATAACTGAAAGTATTTTAAAGACCCTTTTTTTCATATTTTTTAAAGAACTACAAATTTGAAAAGTCCTTGGAGATTCTTTTTTTCATTTTTAAGAATTTGAAAGAATCTTGAGAGCTCCAGTGTATTTTTTTGAAGAATGTAGAAAACCTTGGGGCCTATGGTGTTTTATTTTTATAAGAATCTCGAGAACCCTTTTTTTCTTTTCTAAAGAATTTTAAAGAATCGCAGAGACCCTCGATGTTTTTTTTTAATCGAGATTGAAAGAATCTCGGGAACCTTTTGATGTTTTAATTTCGAAAGAGTTTGAAAGGGTCTTGGAGGTCCATTATTTTTTGCTTTCGAAAGAAGTTGAAAGAATCTTTGAGACCCCTTGTGCTCTGTTTTTGAAAGAATTTCAAAAATCTTGACGGTCTCTGTTTTATTTTTGAAAGAATTTGGTAGAATCTTGAGATAGACTAAAGTCCTTTTTTTAGTCAAAGCACCTCAAGAGCTTGTTTCGTTTTATGTGTGAAAAACTTTAAAAGAATCTTGAGGATCCATTATGATGAATGAGTTTAAAAGAATCTGGGGGACCCCTGGTGTTTTGATTTAGAAGGAGTTTGAAAGAATTTTTGGGGCTCCTAGTTAAAGAATCTTGGAGGTCCTTTATGGTTTATTTTTGCAAAAAAAAAAAATCATAAAAACTTACAAAGTAGCTTTTTATAACTGAAAGCATTCTAAGATTCCCTTTAGTTGTATTTTTGAAAGAATTAGGAATTTGAAAAGCACTTGGAGATTTTTTTTCATTTTTAAGAATTTGAAAGAATCTTGAGAGCTCCCAGTGTATTTTTTTGAAGAATATAGAAAACCCTGGGGCTTATGGTGTTTTTTTTTTACAAGAATCTCGAGAACCCTTTTTGTTTTCTTTTCTAAAGAATGTTAAAGAATTGCAAAGACCCTCGATGTTTTTTTTAATCGAGATTGAAAGAATCTCGGGAACCTTTTGATGTTTTAATTTCGCAAGATTTTGAAAGACTCTTGGAGGTCCATTATTTTTTGCTTTCGAAAGAAGTTGAAAGAATCCTTGAGACCCCTTGTGCTCTGTTTTTGAAAGAATGTCAAAAATCTTGACGGTCTCTGTTTTATTTTTTAAAGAATTTGATAGAATCTTGAGACAGGCTAAAGTCCTTTTTTAGTCAAAGCATCTTAAGAGCTTCTTTCATTTTATGTGTGAAAAACTTTAAAAGAATCTTGAGGATCCATTATGGTGAATGAGTTTAAAAGAATCTCGGGGACCCCTGGTGTTTTGATTTAGAAAGAGTTTGAAAGAATTTTGGGGGCTCCTAGTTAAAGAATCTTGGAGGTCCTTTATGGTTTATTTTTGCAAAAAAAATCATAAAAACTTACAAAGTAGTTTTTTTTATAACTGAAAGCATTTTAAGATTCCCTGTTGTTGTATTTTTGAAAGAATTAGGGATTTGAAAAGCACTTAGAGATTTTTTTTTCATTTTTAAGAATTTGAAAGAAGCTTGAGAGCTCCTAGTCTATTTTTTTGAAGAATGTAGAAAACCTTGGGGCCTATGGTGTTTTATTTTTATAAGAATCTCGAGAACCCTTTTTGTGTTCTTTTCTAAAGAAGGTTAAAGAATCGCAGAGACCCTCGATGTTTTTTTTTTTTTTTTTTAATCGAGATTGAAAGAATCTCGGAAACCTTTTGATGTTTTAATTTCGAAAGAGTTTGAAAGAGTCTTGCGGTTTTATTTTTGAAAGAATTTGATAAAATCTTGAGGGATTCTGTGTTTTTTTTTTTTTAATGAGTTTAAAAGAATCTCGGGGGCTCCTAGTAAAGAATCTGAAAGAATCTTTTAGGTCGCTTATGGTTTGTTTATATTTGCAAAAAAAATGTTTTTAATCGTAAAAACTTCAAAAGTATTTTTTTATAACTAAAAGTATTTTAAGATGTGGTGTATTTTTGAAAGAATTAGGAATTTTAAAAGATTTTTTTTTCATTTTGTTTGTGAATATCTTAAAAAGATTTCGAGGGCCCCTGGTGTTTAATTTTAAAAAGAGTTTGAAAGAATCTGGGGGGCTCTTAGTTAAAGAATCTGAAAGAATCTTAGAGACTCATTATATTTTGCGTTCGAAAGTGGTGAAAAGAACCTTAGGGGTCCTGTAAATTGTGTTTTATGTTAGAAAGAATTAGCAAAAATCTCGGTAACTCCCTGGTGTTTTGTTTTTGAAAACGTTTGAAAAAATCATATGGGTTTCTAAATTATATTTTAAAGCAGGTGAAATTATCTTAAAAGCCACTTGATTCTATTTTTGAAAGAATTTAAGGGAATTTCGAGGATTCATTGTGTTTTGACAGGGAAAGAACCTTCGGATCCACTTTTTTTTTTTTTGAAAGAATTTGAAAAGAAAGAATAAAAAAACTCCTAGACCCCATATTTATTGCCTATGCTTCAGAAGAAGCAAGGGAAATTCTATTTAAATAATTTGTAACTAATTTTTAGTCACTCTGCAATAAAAACACAAACTTTATTATTAAGAAATTAATGATAAATTATGCTATCTACGATAGTACTGAACTGGATTAATAATAATAATTTTCGGTGAGTAATATTTTCAATAATCAGATAACAAATAGGTCGGAAATATAGTGATATCTTCAAGAAAGTTTTATTGTAAACATAATGAGTCACATCAACGATATTGTAGATTCTGTTTTAAATATTTTCCCGTTTTAACAACTTTTTTTATGACTCGGTGCAAAGTAGCTTTTTAAAATGGTAAAATCCAGAGATCATTCATGTCGTTCACACTAATGTACTGTAATATTTTTTTCTGGGACACACCTATTTGTTTACTTTTATTTCGATTCATGGTACTATTTATGCTTTCTTGAACTGTTTGGTCGTGATCGAGATAACTTGAAATTGGGTTATTCCTACACACGAAATAATTTTCCGCACTTGATACAAAAATTTTCGATCTCTGATATCTTTATTGACTGAAATATACACAAAACTAGGGTTTATCGCCTTAATTTTTCAACAATTTCTGGGATTAGGTGTATCAAATTTGGAATGCCACTAAATAGTTCACATTTATCTATGTATTTACATAGAATTGGCAGCGACGCTATAATACATTAGACCTGCCTGTGTATACCTGATTTATTGATACCGCAATCCAAAATTTACACTGCAAACCATAAAATAATGTAGTGTGTCGAGCAATTTCGCCACTGTTTAAATTATTTAACAATTGTACGGTACGTGTCGACAGAACTAAGCAAATACATTTTTTGCTTTTGACTGATTTTCTGGTATTAGCTAATAGGTGTTAATTTACAATTCAGTTAAATTTTTTACATATTTTGCACAGTTTACTTTCTAAAAATTACACTCGTGAACTTACTTAATCGTAAGAGTTTATTTAGATTGTTAAAATAGCTGAATAATACCTCACTTTCCACCCATAATGCCGTATTTTCGGTTATTTGTGTTATTTTCATTGAATAGAACCCAGCTCCAGACCGAAATAATTACCGAACAATGCGGTAGGTAAAACTGGCTGGGAACAGACTCACCGTTCTCCTTTGAACACGAAACGGCTTCATTGATGGAAGTTCTCGATTTTACATCATGTGGGGGTGTTATCTAATTACAAGAACACCGAAGAAGCTTGTTATGAAAACAACAAAACATCTACATTGTAATTAATGCTTGGAATTATTACGCCGTAGCTTGAGAACATCAACATTTGTGTTTGTTTTTTGTGCTGTCTGCTTTACGCTCGCGATAAATAATAATAATGTTTATTCATCGTAAAAACGAAAAAATCGTAAGAGTTGAATTTTTTCTATAACCGAGTTGATCTCTCTTTCGCTAATTAAATTTAAACCCATTTGTAAACCCACGTTGGTTGCGTTTAAGTTTATGGCACGCTGAAATGAGACCGCTCGGCAGTGTACTGGTCATTTGAATATTCTCCAAGTAAAAATTCCGCAATATAAATGGTTTATATCCCTGTGTAAGATGGCTGCAGAATATACTCGAGGCAAGTTTCAACGTGTCCTACATGACAAATACGAGGAGAGTAGATCTTTTTTGTTCCACCTATGAATGCAGCTGTTTAGCTTGCCTGCATTAAATACAAGTTTCAGTCCTGTTTGTCGGAGCGCTTTTATACCAACTACCTGCTCACAGCATAGCCACTATATGTGCCAGTTTATGACTCAAGCCACTCAGTTTTCTGTTCACAGCCGTGGAGTGCGAGTCGTAGTCGTGGTTCGCTGATAAAACACGTGGTTTACTAAACGTTTTTTTTTTCGAATCGAACCCGTTTTTCGGATTATTGTAAATCAACTAGGTAAGTGAAGATTAATCGTGATGTAGTCGTATTTTGTGTCGGGTTGGAGTGTTATCAGTTGTTTTTGTATTCTAAAAATACGATTGTAGTGGAATAAATGTTGAACTTGACACGTGAGCGACCCTAGTTTTCGAAATTATCGTTGGAAATTAATGGATGGTTAAGCGTACGCGGTGGACACTTTGCATGAATATCATGTGTTACTGATTTGTTTACAATGCAAATTTGGAGATAAAACGGACTACCTATAGATTTGTTATGTATTGGTGTCATGAATCAGGGTCGCCATCGGGTTTATTTTCAAAACAATAAGTGAAAATAATTAACAAATGAAAGCCGACGCGGTGCGATAATCAAACAGATTTCTGTGTGGGGTTTAAAATACAACAAAATATTTTTTCTACAACCCGTCTAAAAAAAAATACTTCTGATATAGGTAACAAATTATCAAACTTTGTTATTTTTGTAATAATAAGAACTGGAAATTAACGAAATTTTTCGATATTTTTAGCAATAGAAACACGAAACTATTATAGCAATGTCCGGTGTATGCATGTCTGGGAACTTCAGCAAAGTCGCATTATCTTCGGCCACTGCATTTATTCGTCATGTGTTTGATAACGAAGCGACGGTGACTAATGTAAAATGGTCGAACAGCGCTAAGTTTTTGTGATAACCTTAATGACTTAAACAAAGTTTAGGATAAAATTTAAATAGTATTTACTTTGCAAAATTTTTCGGGGACGTCGTCAAATGGTCCGGACAAATTTTGGTTATCGTTTTCCCACCTACACGATGTTATTAAATTACAACTTAAATTTGATCACAATCAAACCACTAGTTTCTGAGGTTAATAAAATCTACACAGACGAAAGACCAATTTTTTCATACTTTATTTCTAGTCAATTTATTTTGATTTGAACTGCATTTAAAAAGATCGTAATATGCATTATGTCTCCATAATTTGAAAAGAAAATAAAAAAAGAATGACCTAAATTTGTGATTTTTTGAAAAATCACTTGATTTAAATCAAATGTGAATACTACGTTTCAATAATTTGTAAGTAAAACTGCCGCTGTTAAATTTGGTTTACAATTTTATTCCTATTTTTGGTTCGTAGAAAAAATAGTACATTATATACGAGTTAAAAGTGAGATTTCGACTTCGACTCGTTTTTCTTTTGATTTTTCACTTCCCGGGCGTAAGCTTAAGTTTTCTCGACGTTTCATGACTCCCAGAGTATGAAATCATAGGTCCTCCGTTTCCGTCTGTGTCTTATTGTCTGTCGTCTGTATCGATCGTAGTAGATAGATTATTTCCGAAACTATTGGACTGATTGTTATCAAGTTTTATTTGTATTTTAGGAATATTGTGTAAATTATAAAAAGCTAGTCAAAATTTGTCTGCTCAACCCCACCAACAATTTCACTACGGCATTTGAAAATTTTGCTTAGTGAATACTATTTAAATGTTATAAAATAACATACTCTTATCTTTGTGGTTTATGAATTCGCCCCAATTTTTGGCCGTGGACATCTCGATTTATTAAATTATATATTACCAGTGCTTATTTTATAAAAGATGAATGCAACACCGTACTTTGTAACAAGGTTGGCCAATTTTAAAGGATTTTTTTCTCAAAAAACAATTATTGATTAAAATCATTTTTGTTTTTTCTTTTCAAACTATAAAAAAAAACAAAATAAACTGACCACTGACTAGAATAAAATATTTCCAACAGAATAAAATGCTAATTTTCTTGCCAAGATAAAACTGATTTGGCAAAGGACTTACTTTCTAAGAAAATAAAGGGCGGGTGGGCGGGGCTAGTACTTACTAAGACAAGATTGATTTTGGCATTCTTATTGGGTCGGAAGAACACAAGATGAATTTTATATTGATAAATAATAGAATCTAGAACTACATTTTTTTAGGAGTAATAAAATTTAATTTTTACTGAATTTTCAATTTTTAGATTTTCCAATTTTTCAATTAGTAATTTCACGAGTTTTCAATTTTACAATTCTTCGTTTTGGTTTTTATTTTATTTATTTTTAAATTTTTCGCTTTTCACTGTTCGGATTCTATCATTTTTCTTTTTCTTTTTTAACGTGAATTTTTTCAATTTTTGGATTTTTCGAGTTTTCAGTCTTCAGTTTTTCGGTTTTTCAATTTTAAATTTTTTAGTTTTTCGTTTTTACTTCCCGAGCGTAAGCGAAGAAAGTTTTGTAATCGAGTCCATCGGGCGAATGGCCACTTTTATGTTTTCTCGACGTTTCATGACTCCTACAGTACGAAAAACTAATCTCCCCTTTCTGTCTGTCTGCAGTCCCGGATTTTTATTAAGACAGATAATCTTCGAAAGTACTCGTAAAACGCTAATCAAAATTTCTCTAATCATCCCCACCCCTAATCCGATGACGTCACTTCAAAATTGTATAACATAAACATAGTTGATGACTCCTAATAGAGTTTTTACCCGAAACGTCCAAATTTTTGGAAAAAAAATCAAAATTATAAAACAACATTTTGCAATTTAATTTTGAATCTGCTAATCCTAATACTTTGAAATTTTGCACATGTTTTAAGGTTATAAAGAGCATAATAAATTTTTAGTCAAAATATATTTGCTTATCTCCTTCAAAAAATTGTTGACGTCATCTCAAAGTTTAATATATGATACTTATTATGGTTTATTTTTAATATACTTATAATTAATATTTTTTGAATTTGTTTATACAGGGTGTCTCAGAAAAATTAATGACTGAGTTGTTAAAAAATAAATATCCAATTAGATTTAGGAATTTAACTCGTTACTATGGAAATATACAATTTAACACCTTTTAAGTTTAATAAGTTTTTACAAGTTTAATAGGGGCAAAATCAGTCGTCTTATCTTAGCCAGTGCTAGCCCCGCCCACCCACCCCTTATTTTCTCAAAGTTTGTCATTTGCCAAAATAAGTTTTACTTTTGCAAGTACTAGCCCCGCCCACCCGCCCTCTGTTTTTTCATAGGGTACGGCATCTGCCAAAATCAGTCTTATCGTAGCAAGTGCTAGCCCCGCCCACCCGCCCCTATTTTCTCACAGGATATATCATTTGTCAAAATAAGACTTATCTTAACATGTACTACCCTCTGAGAAAATAAAGGGTTGGTGTCCGGGGCTAGTACTATAAGTCTTATTTTGGCAAATAACATCCTCTGAGAAAATAGAGGGCGGGTGGGCGGGGCTAGTACTTGGTAAGATAAGACTGATTTTGGCAAATGACAAATCCTCTAAGAAACTAGGGGTGGGTGGGCGGGGCTAATACTCTGTAAAATAAGAGATTTTCTAATTTTTAAATGTTTGTTTCAATTTTGAAATATTTGGATTTCCAGATACCCGCTTTTCCGATTTCTTTAGTTTTCAACATTTCGATTTTACAATACATAAACTTCGTTTTAAAAGTCGATAAGTCCACGATTTCCAAGTAGCTCAATTTTGCAAGTTCTTGATTTTTATTTTTCATTTTCCCAATTTTTTAATTTTCACTTTCTCGGTTTTATATCACAAATTTTCGTTTTTTCATTCTCTTTATTTTTTCAATGATTTTTCGATTTTATAATTTTTAATTTATTCAATTTCTCAAATTCTCAGTCTTCGATTTCTCAATTCTTGGATTTTCCAATTTTTAAATGTTTGTTTAAATTTTGTAATTTTTGGGTTTCCAGATACCCGCTTTTCCGATTTCTTTAGTTTTCAATATTTCGATTTTACAATACATACATAAACTTCGTTTTAAAAATCGATCAAGTTCACAATTTCTAAGTTTCTCAATTTTTAATGAATTTTTAGTTTTTTTAATTTTTCAAGTTATTGATTTCCAGTTTTTAGATTTTTGAAAGTTTTCATTTTATATTTCTCCGTTTTTTCATTTTTAATTTTTCAATTTTAAAATTTTTATCTATTTTTACAATTCGATTAGGTTTTTTATTTTTTCCATAATTCGATTTTTCCTTGTTTCGATTTTATATTTTGTTTATCAATGTTTAGATTTCGCAATTTTTCGATTTAAAATTTCTCGAGCTGTTAATTTTTAGTTTTTCGTTTTGATTTTTATTTCTCTATTTTTACAATTTTTTATTTTATTTTTTGTTTCTTCAATTCGATTTGCAATGTTTCAATTTTTCATTATCCTTCAATTTTTAGAGTTTGCAATTTTTCGATTTAAAATTTCTCGAATTCTCAATTTTAATTTTTCGTTTTTCATTTTCTCTGTTTTTTTAAATTGTTCGAGTTTTCAATTATGCAACTTTTGAATTTTTCAATTTTCAGATTTTGCAATTTTTCGATTTGAATTTCTCAAGTTTTCAATTTATAATTTTTCAATTTTTAGATTTGCAATTTTTTGTTTCGGTTCTTTATTTTTCGATTATTTGATTTTTCAGTGTCGATTTAAAATTTCTGGAGTTTTTACTTTTTAATTTTCCATTTCGTTTTTTATTATCTCAATCTTTACAATTTTTGAGTTTTCAATTTTAAATTTTTCAATTTTCAGATTTTGCAATTTTTCGATTTGAGTTTCTCAAGTTTTCACTCATAACTTTTCAATTTTTCGATTTGCAATCTTTCGTTTCGGTCTTTTAATTTGTGGATTATTCGATTTTTCACTGTTTCGATTTAAATTTTTTTCAGTTTTTCGTTTTTAATTTGTCGTTCTGTTTTTTTCTTTTCTAAATGTTTGTTTCAATTTTGCAATTTTTGTGTTTCCAGATACCGGCTTTTCCGATTTCTTTAGTTTTCAATATTTCGATTTTACAATACATACATAAATTTCGTTTTAAAAATCGATCAAGTTCACGATTTCTAAGTTTCTCAATTTTTAATGAATTTTTTCTTTCTTTAATTTTTCAAGTTCTTGATTTCCAGTTTTTGGATTTTTGAAAGACTTCTCCGTTTTTTCATTTTTAATTTTTCAATTTTACAATTTTTCTCAATTTTTACAATTTTTAGGTTTTG